GTGTTTTAGGTGGCCGGTGTTCTGCAGGCGGTGTTTTAGGTGGCCGGCAGCTTGGCTGTGAGTGAGCATGTTGTGCCTCCTGTTTCAGGCGATGACAACCTGTGCAACACTCCTCGTTTATCTCCCTGTTCCCCGCCAAAGCTGGGCAAGAAAGAAAACGGCCCCCCTCGCTCACATACACGGAAGGGGTGCAGACTAGTATTCGATGATGAGCTGATAGGTAAGGCTTCCACCCAAAAAGAACAAGACAGGGGTCACCAACACCAGATCCTTTCCTCCGCTCAAAGAAGTCAAGAGAGCGAAACACATCCTGAGCAGCCATGTCCACCGGAGAAGGAGTCTGCGAGTATCAGACTGTTCAAGCAGGAAGGTGCGTCCTAACGTGGTAGCGGAGCCACATCAGGAACTGTGCTGGGGGGTCTGAGTGAAACCCAGTCACCTTTGGCTATATCTTAATTATCCTTTTATGTTTGACACAGGCACTTGCTATCAGCAAGCAAAGCTTGTCCTGAATACAGCTGTCCCGGATCGGCTGCCTGCCAGAGAACAGGAGATGGGTGTCATCAGGGAGTTTCTGAAGGAGCACATCTGTGGGAAAAAAGCTGGGAGTCTCTACCTTTCTGGCGCTCCTGGGACTGGAAAAACTGCCTGTTTAAGCCGGATTCTGCAAGACTTCAAGGTACACCAAGAATCTGAATTATAGATATTATAGATACTTTTGTTGAAACAATATATCTATTTGTGTGTGCGTGTGTGTGTGTGTGCGTGTGTGCGCGTGTACACGCATTGGTGTTTTGCTTGCATGTAGGTTTGTGAGGATGTTGACTTCCCTGGAGCTAGAGTTAGACAGTTGTGTGCTACAATATGGGTGCTGGGAATTGAACCCAGAGTCCTTTGGAAGAGCAGCCACCACTGATCCACCTCTCCAGCTCCCACAGTTGACTCTTAAGGGTTAAGAGTTGATGGTTAGAAGATTGAACGCTTCCTGAAAGTAAGAAATTTTGTTATTTCAGGGTATAAATCTTTCCAAAGAAAGTAGAGCTTCGCTCTTGTATCCTGTTTGCTCTGAGATATGGTCAGGTTTAAGGAAATTGTTGTCTGAAGATGACCTAACTCCCATGTTTGCTTTTTTTTTTTTTTTTTATAACCTAGAAGGAAATAAAAGGCTTTAAAACTATCCTGCTGAATTGCATGTCCCTGAGGAGTGCCCAGGCTGTGTTCCCAGTCATTGCTCAGGAGCTTGGTCGGGAGGAGCTCTGCAGACCAGCTGGGAAGGACTTGACGAGAAAGCTGGAGAAGCACCTGACGGCCGAGAAGGGCCCCATGATGTGAGTGTTTCTCTGCTGCCCGATGCTGTGAGCATCTGTAAGATGTTACCCAGGGGGAGAACTTTGCTCTGTGACATGGGTACATATGAAGAAAGGAAAGATGATACACTTTTTAATTTTCAGAATATTCTAACTTACCTATTGATGGTTCTAGGGCTCAAATCCAGGGTTCTGGGTTACACTGAGTCACACCTCCAGTCCCTATGCTTTCTGATTATTGACTTTACGTTTTAACTGTTTTGTTGTTGTCTTGGGGGTTTTGTTGTTTCATTTCTTTTTGTTTGTTTTTTGTTATTGTTTTGGTTTTGGGTTTTGTTTTGTTTTGTTTTCCTCAAGACAGGGTTTCTCTGTGTAGCCCTGGCTGTCCTGGAACTCACTCTGTAGACCAGGCTGGCCTTGAACTCAAATCCGCCTCCCTCTGCCTCCCAAGCACTGGGATTAAAGGCGTGCGCCACCACTGCCCTACTTGGGATGTTTTTATTTTTGTTTGTTTTGCTTTGTTTTTGGAAACGGGGCTTTCTTTGTCCATCCTTGGTTGTCCTGGAGCTAGCACTGTAGACCAGGCTGGCCTTAAACTCACAGAGATCGGCATGCGTTATGCATTGTCACTGCCAGACCTAGTTTAAAATGTAACTGTTTTTAAGCTAGTTCCTTGAAAACAATTGGATGATACCTGTTAGTGAGAGGGCTGTTGCCCTACCAACCTAAGGCAAGCAACCTAAGCTCAGGTCCAACCTTGGGAGATTGAGAACGTGACTGGAACTAATTATTTCTCTTTTTATGTAGTGTGTTGGTGTTGGATGAGCTGGATCAGCTGGACAGCAAAGGGCAGGATGTATTATACACACTGTTTGAGTGGCCGTGGCTAAGCAACTCCCGATTGGTGCTCATTGGTTAGTGCTCAGCTGCTAATGTGAAACTTTGTTTAAAAATCTGTTCAACTTATTATGTATGTGAAGTATGTTGGTGCACACGTGTGTGTGTAGAGGCCAGAGGTTGACATCCTAGGTCTTCATTTTTATTTACTGAGGCGGAGTCTTTTGCTGGACCTGGAGCTCACTGAGTCCCTTAGTCTAGCTGGCCAGCTTGTCCTGAGGATCTCACCCCTGCCTCGCTGGCTTTTGTCGTGGCTTCTGAGCTCTGAAGCCAGCTCCTCATGCCTGCATAGCCAGTGCTTAGTCCACTGAGCCGTGAGATTCCCCTGTGTGCGTCAGTGAGTGACCTCTCGGGTTTGTGAGTTTATGTGCATAGTTGGTCTGTTTGCATGCAGCTCTGCACTGCTTGCATCCCTGAGACCCGTGGAGGCCAGAAGAGGGCATCTCGTCCCCTAAACTGAAGTTATAGAAATATCATAAGCCAGCTTTCTGTCTTAGCAAAATAAGAAAATTACTATGGTAGTAACTTAACAGAACATTGATTTGTGTTGGGTCTGAATAAAAAATGACAAAGAAGCCAGACACCACAGTGTCCTCCTGTGGTCACAGCTGTTTGGGGGGATGAAAGAGGAAGATGATGATTTGGGGTGTCATAGCAAGCAAGATCCTTACGGTAGTAGCACTAGTAGCACTGTTACTGCTACTACTACAAAATAGGGGTTGCTCTTGGAGAGGTGGCTCCCTGGGCAAGGTGCTGGGTGCATACGCATGAGAGGCCCCGTCTCAAAAACTAAGGTACAGGACCCTAAGGGAGAGCATCTGACACCAACTTGGGTCCCGCCTACGCTCACAGAAGTGCATATACACACGAAGTGTGTACATACAACACACACAGTCATGCCAAGTGACATAGGCAGTGAGGGGTGTGAGTTGCTGATAGAGTGTGTGCTTAGCGTGCACAAATGCCGATATATTTGCTTTTGGGTGTTTTGGTTTTCAAGTCAGGGTCTCCCTGTGTAGCCCTGGCTGTCCTAGAACTAGCTCTGTAGACCAGGCTGGCCTTGAACTCAGATCCACCTGCCTTCCGAGAGCTGTGATCAAAGCATGCCAGGCTAAATAAGTTTGTTTTTGAGGCAGAGTCTCACTGCAGCCCTGGCTAGCCTGGAATTCAACAGAAATCTGACTGCCCACCCCCTTTTCTCACACCCTTCTTCCTGAAGACAAGGTCCCTTGTTCAGGGTAGCCTCAAATCCATGATCCTCCAGTCTCAGTCTTGCAGTGTTGGGATTATGACTGTGCTTCACTATACCCACCTAAGCACTATGTCTCACCTAGTAGGTCCATCTTACCTTAGCGTGGGGTAGGGAGCAAGTGGAAGCAACAGTTGAGATGCTGGGTTAAGCCTGGGAATCTTAGGGGGCTTAATTTCCTTTTAGGATGATTTTACTGTTGGTGCTAAGTGTTACTTGTCTTCTCAGGTATTGCTAATACCCTGGATCTCACGGACAGAATTCTGCCAAGACTTGAAGCTAGAGAAAACTGTAAGCCACAGTTACTGAACTTCCCGCCTTATACCAGGAATCAGATAGCTGCAATCTTGCAGGATAGACTTAATCAGGTGAGTACCAACTGCTGTGCCAAATTCTGTGGCAGGGATAATCTCTGTAATGGAAAGCTAACGATAGGTTTAAAGTATTTCAGTTTGATTGCTTTATTAATGGTGTGGCCAGATCCTGTGGACCATAATGAGTGAAAGCATTTTTATGTGAATTTCTGCGTGCGGTTTCGTTTATTGGCGCTTCGCTGTTGTAATAAGAGTGGGAATTAGAGGGTTCAAATGCTTCCTTTTAAAAAGTGGGGCACGGGCCAGTGTGGTAGCTCCACAGGTAAAGGTACTGGTCGCCAGTTCTGATAACCCGAGTTTGGTTCCTGAGACCCACCTGGTAGAGGGAACCCAGAAGTTGTCCTCTGACCTCCACAGCTGTGGCATGCATGTCCTACTCCACCTTCCTCCAAACAAAAATAAACAAGTGTGATAAATTTTGAAAAGCAGGGCCTATGAGCTGCGCCTACTAGTGGTGTCTTTAGTCCCTGCACTTGGGAAACTGGCAGATGACTGGGTTGGAGGCCAGCCAGGGCTCATGTTAAGCCTGTCTCAAACAAAACCAAAAAAGAGGGTCTATAGAAAATTGTAGATCCAATTGCTTTTTTAAGCCATTTACGAACCTCTGCACCACATTTCTTTTTTTTTTTTTTTTTTTTTTTTTTTTTTTTTTTTTTTTTTTTTTTGGTTTTTCGAGACAGGGTTTCTCTGTGTAGCCCTGGCTGTCCTGGAACTCACTCTGTAGACCAGGCTGGCCTCGAACTCAGAAATCCGCCTGCCTCTGCCTCCCAAGTGCTGGGATTAAAGGCGTGCGCCACCAACGCCCGGCACCACATTTCTATAAAATTCTTAAATACGTGCAATATGTCCCTTAGAACTAGAAAGGAGGCCAGTTGGATTTAGACCTTTGCAGTCCTGAGTGTTAAACTCAGAGCCATGAACATACACTCCCACTCACAAAATTATTTAGTCTGTGAGAATATTTATATGATTAGAATCTCAGTTGCTGAGAGGAACTTTATTTATTTATTACCAGTACTGGGATGCACAAGGCCTCTTGGGCTAGTAAGTTGTATGCTGAGATCCGTTTATTTTGCATTTATATTTACTGTATGTTTATTTGAGACAGAGTCTTGCTGTGTTAACTTGACTTTAGATCTTCCTGCTGTAGTCTGGTAGTTAGGATTTCAGGCCTGTGTTACTAAGCCTGACTCAAATGTCCTCTGGGTCTTGTCTGAAGGTGTCAAGAGACCAAGTTCTGGACAGTGCTGCAATCCAGTTCTGTGCCCGCAAAGTGTCTGCTGTTTCGGGGGACATCCGTAAAGCGCTGGATGTTTGCAGGTGAGTTATGGTGCTGTTGACTGTTTTATTAAAAAAGAGGAAACGTTGTCAGTGATCTGGTGTCGCTCAGATGAATGTGACTTAAGGGGCTCCACTCTGCCTCTTTCCGTGCTCAGAACAGAGGACTTGTTTCTCAGTGGGGAGCTCTGGGTTTCCACCGTGTTAATGTCTCAGACATTATCAGTCCATTACCTACAGAGGGAGAAACAAATGAGACGCAGCCGGCACTCCCCGTGGTGATTATAGATTGGTTAATTACATTTGTATTAAAAAAGACTCCAGTTTGCTTTTCCATTCGCTGGTCTCAAGCAGGTTTATTTATGGACCTGAACCATCTTTGCCTTTAGACTTTCTTTTTTCCTTTGCTTTTGTAGGCAACCCTTCCTCCTTCCAGTTGGTGGTCCCCCCCAAGTCCTACCCTAGACCTCTTTCTCTCTTCTGTCCCCTGGCCCCTCCTGCTGGGGAAAGCCTCTGTGCTGGCTGATGAAAGTTCTTCCTCTCAGTAGGGGCACTAGGTCCATTAAAGTGATCCTTGCTGTGCTGGCCCGCTGGTCCAACTTCCCCTATTGCCTTACAGAAGATCCAGGTCTGCCCGTGGCCTCCTGTGGGCAAAGCACTTTAGAAAGAACAGTGGGAGAGGAAGCTCTTCCCATTGCAGATGGCATGATCTAGACAGAAAGTTTGCCCTAGTCAGCAACTGAACTTGAGTAAAGACGACAGCTATGAGTAATGGCCATGCAGGCCAGCAAGATTAGCCAACATATGTCCTATATCTGAGGACTCTTCTTTGGGGTCTGCTGTGGGGGAGTGCTGTCCAGCCCCCACACCGTGTACCCCGTCTACCCAGGACATCTTTCCTCATCTAGAATGTTACTGGCTCAGTGTATGACAGCCTACTTGACATCTGTAAAAACAAGAGTAGTAATATTTCTGGAATTTCTGGCGTTTTTATTTTAAAGTCAGATAAGTCTCCCTTAGGCTACAGCATAACCCAGTTGATTTTCAGCCAGGGTCTCCCTGGATAACTGAATGTAAACTGGCCTCTGTGTGTGTGTGTGTGTGTGTGTGTGTGTGTGTGTGTGTGCTGTGACTGTGTATATTATATGTGTGTGTGCCTGTGATGGCCAGAAGGGGGCACCAAATCCCCCGAAGCTGGAGTTAAGGTGGTTAAGCGAGCCACCTGTTGAGGGTGCTGGGCACCAAACTTGTAAGGGACCTTAAATTTTTAAAATGTATTTTTAGTTAATGTGCCTGCTTTGGGGTGTGGTAGCTTGGTATGGTCCATACTAAATTAATTTTAGGATTTTTGTTTATTTATTTATTTAATAGACGAGCTATTGAAATTGTGGAGTCTGATGTCAGGAGCCAGACAATCCTCAAGCCACTCTCTGAATGTGAGTAGCTTACCTGCTTCCTGTCAACCTTTCTAAATGGAGACTTACCTTGCTGAGGAGAAGGAAAGATGAGCAGACACAGCTAAATCTCCCTTCACGCAGCAGATCCAAGAGGGGAGTGGGATGTGGCTTCATCTAATTCATTTCAGTCTGCCAGTGCTGGTCTTTGTGGTACTGGAAGTGAGTCCCCAGGGGTCTTCATAGATGGTGGGGCTCGAGGATTAAGGTTTCTTCCAAGGCTCTGGGAATGAAAATGAGGTTGCAAGGTTGAACTACCTTCTCTCTGGGTATGTCTTCTGTAGGAGAAGGTAATGGCCGGTAGGTAAAAGGGAGAGGAGAAAGAAGGCGCAGTGATGAAGCAGATGAGGCGCTCATCTCAGGGCAGTCTGCGAGGAGAGCACCAAGACCCCGTGGCTGTCACAGACAAGGCTGCTCTCTCTCTTCTTCACTGGCAGATGTCACTCGGTTGTGGACCGTATACTAACAGGGAGATATGACTTGCTCCTTCCTTCTGGTTGGGAGTTCAAGATAGAAGCTTTCTCTTTTTCATCAGAATTTACTAGAAGAAACAGTTTAAAAGGCTTCAAAAAGTAACCTAAATTAGTGCTTGGGCAGTGAGTAGGTCGTGTATACCAATATGTAGACGGAAATTGTCCGCTCTGTCTTTGGGTTAGCTTGTCCTTCCAGGCGCCCTTCCCTAGCAGTAACACATAGGCTTGTCAGAGGCCCTGGTGTCAGCACTGGCACATGCTGCTAAAGGTTCCTGGTGTAGATTATGAATGTAACCTATTTTCTGTCTTTTGACCTCTGATATGTGTGTGGGACTAGTTTCAGTGGCCTAGCTATATAGAAAGCTATAGAGACAGTGACTTCAACTAAATATAAGGAATTTTCGGGGTTTTGTTTGTTTGTTTGTTTTCAAGACAGGGTTTCTCTGAGGAATTTTCTCTTTAAAATTTTTCTTTTATTTATACAAGTGCACTGTAGTTGTCTAAAGACACAAACCAGAAGAGGACATCAGATCCCATTATCCCATTATAGATGGTTGTGAGCCACCATGTGGTTGCTGGGAATTGAACTCAGGACCTCTGGAAGATCAGTCAGTGCTTTTAACCACTGAGCCATCTCTCCAGCCCTATAAGGAATTTCCTAATGCATAGAAATAGCTAGGTTCCCCGGCACTGAAGATAGGCAACAGAAAGTTGGCTAGGTGTCAAGGATGGTGGGCCATACCTGTGATCCCAGCTCTCGGTGTGGTCACTACAAGTTCAAGGCTAGTGCAGGCGACTCTTAAACCATGAAAACCAGAAAAATGGGATAGGTGTCGTACTGGGATTGTTCTAGAAGGGGCTTTGCCCTTGTGTAGGGGATAAGGATAGGCTTCCAGGTTCCTTTCAATGTGGAGCTTGTGCTACTTGATCTGTGAGCTCTGGTTTCTCTATTAGCCCTCTGCAGCTTTCTGCTTGTGGTAAAGCAATAGAAACAGATTGTTGTGGGGCAAGTGCAGCTGGCCTCAGGAAGTAACTGCAGGCAGAGGCTGTCAGAGAGCAAACCCTGCCTCTCACAGCTGTGCTTCTCCAGACAGTGGGGCCACAGGCCCGTGTGTGTTCACCACTGTTCCCAGCCTCCAGCTCTGGGGAGGGTACTATGTGCTAGGCTAGCCCACGACATTTTCTTAAGTGTCTTGCAGAATAGTTTGGACACGTGAATGAACCTCAGAGGTCATTTGGGAAAGCCATCTGGGGCGTGGGGCCTAAGGCGGGTCTGACTTTACTGGCCATGCTTATCCACCCATTTGACTCATATCTCATTAAAACAGTAGATAATTTTTCCAACTGTTCCTTTTCCTTTCGTAACTATCAGGCAGTCGTCTTTGCTTCAGAGTTTTAGGCTGAGGATCAACTGAGGGGCTTTGCACAAGCAAGTGCTCTAGCACCAGGCTTCATGCCCAGCCAATGTTTGAAGCTGGTAGCTATGCTTGTTGGCATCTGTCTGGGTTCTTGCTTATACAGGAGGGTAAATTAGTTGTCTTTTCAACATTAAACTACATCCTAAAGGACAAGGTAAATGGATCGTTATTTCCAGAGAAAAGGCAAGCCTGCCTTCTGGAACTGTCTTTCCCTTCATCTTCCACCCCAGAAACAATCTCTGCTGTGCCGTTGGGTGGGCACACATACACAAGCGATATTTTAGAAACTGAATAAAGTGCCAGATGGTGGTAGTGTGCACCTTTAATCCTTGCACTCAGGAGGCAGAGGCAGACAGCAGAGGACAGAGTTTGAGGACAGCTACCCAAAGAGAAACCCTGACTTGGAGAGGAAGGAAGGAAGGAAGGAAGGAAGGAAGGAAGGAAGGAAGGAAGGAAGGAATTGAAGCTCCCTTGCTTACTTCACAGGTAAATCACCCTGCGAGTCACCGGTTCCCAAGCGTGTTGGTCTTGCTCACATATCCCAAGTCATTTCGGGAGTTGATGGGAACAGGGTGACTTTGAGCCAAGAAAACACACAGGATTCCCTTCCTCTCCAGCAGAAGATCTTGGTTTGCTCTTTGCTGCTCTTGACCAGGCAGCTGAAAATCAAAGAGGTCACCTTGGGGAAGGTAAGCTTCAAGTCTCAGCAGATGGAGCTGAGGCTTCACCACAGCTACTGTCCAAAAGACCTGTCATCTCCAGGCCGAGGGAATTAAAAATGGGCCATTATCAGGAAGAATGAGTGTTAGTATCACTGCCTTTAGGAGGCAGAGGCATCTGGAGCTTTTGCACATTTGACCCAGCCCGGTCTACGTAGTAAGTTCTAGGCCAACCAAGGCATTGTCTCAAAAACGAGTTAAGGCCAGGCAGTGGCAGTGCCTTTAATAACAAAACTCGGAGGCAGAGGCAGGTGGATCTCTGCGAACTCCAGGCCAGTTCCAGGATAGCCAGGGCTGTATAGAAAGAAAGATCATGTCTCACCACCTTTAGCCCCCTACCCCAAAATTTTAAAACTGAGTTAACCATTAACCGGGTAGAGTGGTACAATCCTTGTAACCCTGGTGTCTAGGAGGCAGAGCCAGGATGGTTGCCAGCCAGTGCTGCATAGAACCCATCTTTGCCTTCATTTCCGCATATCCCACCGAACTTACGTAAAGCCCTGTTCCTGAGTTCTACATTAGAGTAAGGTGACTCTGCAGTCGATAGCAATTGCTGCTCTTGCAGAAGACCCGGGTACCATTCCCAACACCCACATGTGACTCACAACCATCCGTAACTTTGGTTCCAGGGGATTGGCCAACTCTTCTGCTCTCCACGGGCATCAGGCATGAACATGGTGCACATACATAAGTACATGCCGGCAAAACACACACAAAATCTTTTAAAGGATAATCATAATGTGTTGGGGTACAGAAGGTCTGTTGGCTATTTGAGGGTTCAGTGAAAAGGAGGAGGTAGGGTAGTCAGATGACTTGAGACACTGTTTCTGGGCCTATTTTTGTTTTTCAATCTGTAAGATTATGAGATGTGGCTTTTAAGTGACACTTGTTCTCCCTCATTTCCTCCCAGTTATATGAAGCCTACAGTAGCGTCTGTCGCAAACAGCAGGTGGCAGCTGTAGACCAGTCTGAGTGTTTGTCCCTTTCAGGACTCCTAGAGTCCAGGGGCATTGTGGGATTAAAGAAGAATAAGGAGAGTCGCCTCACCAAGGTACAAGCAAGGGCTTTCTTGTGTGTCCCTGCCTTTAACTGTCCTGTCTTGGGAGCATGTTCTTTGCCAGAGTCAAGATTGGAAGAGAGTAGTGAAGAGTTTGATTTTCTGCCAGCTAGGGCTTAGGATGTGATTCGGGCCATTGAGGATGGCTGCAGTTAGCCTGCCGGTCTGAGGAGAGTGGGATGTGATGGGGGTGTAACTGTGTGCCTGTGGGCGCATGCCTGCATATGCTCTTCATCACGGAAAGCCCTTTTCTCTTTGCAGGTATCTCTGAAGATTGAAGAAAAGGAAGTAGAGCATGTCCTGAAAGGCAAAGCTTTCCTTGGGAACATCCTCGCTGCTGGCCTGCCCTGAATGTCTCTCTCACTTACCGCAGAATGTCTCTACTCACTCACTGCAGGTGTCCCGCTGGCATTTGGCAGCCCGGGGAGTCTTCATTTTAGTAAGGGTTGTGGAAACAGTTACAGCCTTTTTGATTCCGCACCAGTAAATTTTAGCGTATGGATTCATGAGTGTTAGCACTAGCTAATATCTTTGGCTCTCATTGTTTTTACCCGTAAAAATGACTGAGTAGCTGGGTATGGTGGAGTATGCCTGTGATCCCAGCACTTGGGAAATAGAGTCAGGAGTTCAAGGCCATCCTTTGCTACATAATGAGTTTGGGGTGGCCTAGACTACATTAGACTCTGTAAAAATAAAACCAATGACCCCTTTTTAAGCAATTTCAGTACTTTCCCCTTTCACGTTCCTAGCCACGGTACCTGCAAGTATATACAGACTTGTGTTGAAGAATTGTATATGTATTACCTCTATCTACAAAGGATATATTTTGTAAAGAACTTTGAGGTTTAGAAGGAGGAAGTGGAATGATCCAGAAAAAAATACACAAGCCTACGTGGAAATATAAAGGACATTTTGTTCAGAGGATGCTCCACTCATGTGACAGGTGCTGCTGCTCTGGACTTTTTAAAGACAGATGATGATTCTCCAGTGCTCCCCACCAGTGTGGGGTGATACGGAGGGTGTAACTACGCACTGTGAATATATTTATTTTCAAGTTCCATTTGTCTGGGTTGCATTTGTTGTCTGTGGGTTTTCGGGCACATAGGTGCCTCCATGTTCGTTTTGGGGTCAAGCTGCAGCAGTTGTTTACTTTCTACAGTGTGGACCGCGGTGACTGAACTCGCCCCATCAAACTTGGCGGCAAGCGCCTGTCTTTCGAGCCATTTCATGGGCCTGCGTCTGTGGTCTTTTTAACCAGCCACACTCCATGGTAGCTTAAGTTTTCCAGGTTAATACGAAAATACCTTCTCGCCAGGCCTTGGCGCTGCACGCCTTTAATCCCAGCCCTCAGGTAACAGAGGCAGGCGAGTCTCTGTTCCAGACATGTTCCAGGACAGCCTGGTCTACAGAGACTCCAGAAGCAACAACAAAATAATTAAAAATAACAAACAAGTGGAAATACCTTCTCACACTTTCCCACACTGTTGGCTTCCCTCGAATGGGGCCATTGTTTCGGTGGGATGCAGGTCAGGATGGATTTTCATCTGAACCCGTTTTCCTAGGCTCCCTAGATAAGCTCATCTATATGGTTACTAAGATTTCTGTGTTTCATTTCCTGTGGCGTTAAGTGGCAGTTTGTGACAGGGACACCAGAGGGCACCATTATAACACCACTTTGAAAGTGTGGACCAGGCAAGCGTGGTTTTGAGGGAAGGTGAGTGAGTGCTTGGGAGCAAACCGTGTGTGGTATGACTGGTCCCAGCCTTTGCTCTTCTCCAGGCGAGGCTGGTGTCCCGTTGTCTGATCCGGCCCTGAGTTTGGGAATTTGATATGGGTACAGGAGATCTGTTGGCCACTGTTTCATTCAGCCTGCCCACTGTATCCTTTGTAAAGTGATCTGAAGCACAGCAGGTGGGATGGGAGAGGAGGGTAGTGAGGCCTCTGAAATGCACACTGCCCACTGCAGAAGTCTGTAGATAGGAGTTTGGATGTCAAGCGCTCGCTCACAGCTTTACTGGAATACTCATTCCCCTCCGGGCAATGTACAAGCAGGGAAGGCAGTCCTCTCCCGAGGAGTTTGGAGAGTGGATGGGACTGTAAGGGTTAACGAGCATAATTGTAAAGATTGTTGAAGACTGATGGGAAGCAGAGACCAAGTGGGATTGAGAACAGATGTGAGGCTTGATTTAAATCACATTTTATTGGATGCTGCGGCCTTAAGAGACGTGACTGCTTTACAGTTTGTTTCCACACTGTGGGCAGCTGCTGTCTGTTCTGTGTCCATAGTAGGATCCTGCCCAAAAAGGAGCGGCCTCCCCGCCTCCGTTGTATTTGAGGCTTGGCGCCTTCCTCTAACTGTAGGGCTTGAGTCAGGAACACGGTTTGACTCTCGGTGGGACTGCGCTGTACCCTCCCTGGCGTCTAGCCAAGATCGCATTTGCAGATTCAAAGGGGCCAAGCTCCTTCCCCTCTCTAACTCCCCCCTCCCTCATTTGGAAATAGGGCTTTCTGTGTACTGTTTTGTTAGTTTCCTTCAGTCCCCCACCCCCACACACACTGTTGATTTCTAGGTCATTGCTGCTCTGAAGACTTCAGCAATTGGAACAGGGTTGGTTCTGGCAATGATGCGTGAAGCCGACTTCGAGTCCCTGCTTGGCTTCCGCTGCCCTTGTGGGAGCAGGGGCTGATGTATGTCTTAAGTGTAACTCAGACGCGGGGCGGAAAGGAAGAGAGTCCTTCCCTTGCCGGGTTTTCTCACTGAAGCTGGAAGCTATGGGAAGGTGGTGGGAGTTTTAAGTGGGAAGGGATGGGCCTGTGGTTACTAGTTTTTGCCAGGATCTTAGGCCACATGAAGTAGTGGCAAAGATGCTGACCTACATTTTCTCCTTTTGAAGACACTGGGATGTGTATATCCTGGTTTGTCATTATTATTATTATTATTGTTATTTTAAGAACCAGATTAAGCTTCCATAGTGTTGGGTATTGCTACGGAAAGAACATAGACTCAATAAAGCTGGTATGATTTCCAACCCCAGATGCCTCTGACATTTCTGGCTCAATGAAGACTTGCCTGTGGCTAGCTAATTCCAAGAGTGTGTGAGGTCCAGCCTAGCTACCCAGAAATGAGAAGACTTGGCAGAGCTCTTGCCCTTCCCTCCCTTCCCATTGCTCCTTGGCCCCACCCCCACGCCAGCACAGGAACATTACACTGAACCACATTCCCAGTCCTCCCTGCCTGTACTTTCTAAAGATACACAATAAACTGGACCTGGTAGTTCAGGCCTGCAATCCCAGTTACACAGGACAAATTAAGGCCAACCCGGACAACTTAATAAATGAGTTCCCGGGCTTGCCTGATATGCACAAGGCCCTGGGTTCAGGGCTGGAAAGGAAAAACACCACCATAAAGACCAATAACTTAAGCCATGTTTGATAAATAAATAAATACCTTGATAGTTCAGCTGGTAAAGTGCTTTCCTGTGCAAATGTGATGGCTCAAATTCAGTCTCCAGAACACTGCCACACATTCACACACAAGGACTTTAATTCCAGCACTGAGGAAGCTGAGATCCTTGGGGCTTGTGGGCTGGCTAGCTTCTGCTTGATCAGTTCAGGTGAGAGACGGCCCTGTTGTTAAAAAATAAATAAATAAATAAATAAATAAATAAATAAATAAATAAATGAACGAGGCCTGCCAGCCCCTGAGGAATGACACACCTACAATTGACATTTAGCCTTCACACGCACAAAAATACCTTGACTATTGAGGTGGGTGCAGGGGGGCAAAATGGTTTTGTTACTTATGGTATAGGAAACCCGATGGGTTGTTTGCTGTGTAGGAGAAACCCTCTGCAGACTTTATTTACATTTGTATCGGTCCCCAGCACTTTGGTAGCTATTCATTAACTGCTATTCAGTGAATGGTACAAGGAAGATACACACACACACACACACACACACACACACACACATCTAGAAAACAGCTGGAGGTAAACTGCAGGCACTGCAGGGCTGGGACCCTGCAGAAGGCCTTCTTATGGCAGTCTCAGGGCCTTGCAGCCTATCTTCTGGATATCCTACTAATTTGCTTCAGGCAACCTCTATTGCTTCAGGGAGGCTTTGGCTATGGGTTGGTGACTTGCCTACAGGCTAGGAAGAAGTAGGTCTGTTTGTGAAGTTACCTCACATCCCCAGAGATTGCCCAGAAAGCTGCTTCTGGGGACCGGAGACTGAGGAAGAAACCGCCTTTGATGTCCTACTTTTTAGCTTTGTGGGGGAATATTATCTCCGTTTCCTCCTGATGTCTTCTCCACAGAGAAAGGTGTATGAGGCCTAAGTGTGTGTCCTCTGGTCTCATGGTCCAATTCCACCAGTCCAGATGCTGCCAGTAGAAGCAAGGGGCTGGGTAAAGGCTGCAGGCTGGCAAAAGGAGAGTTGTCTGCTCCCGTTTTTGTTTTTTTTTTTTTTTAATTTCTAATTGAGTTCTGAATCAGCCTCACTCGCTTTGATCCCTCCTCTGTTTCCCACACTGCCTGAAAGAGCCAGATCAGCACTTTGTAACAAGGGTGCGCCTGCTCCCCACACCCCCCCTCCCCTGACGCTCTCTGCCGCCACCATCCACTGCTTGTCTCCTTCAGTTAAGATAATGAAGATGCTGAGAGATAAAATGTGTATTTAATAAGGGTGGGGGCAGGGAGGCGGAAAGGGGCAGCCAGGGCCTTCCCTAGTTTGGGGCCTCGCCAAGACTCTAGCTGAAAGCAAAGCTAGAGTAAGACTTGGCCTCAGGGTGTGGGGGTTTCTGGGCCTCAATCCAGCTGACTTCACTGCCTGCTGTTTGCCCTAAATTCCCCCACCTCCACCCTCTCACCCCCACACTCCTTTCCTCTCTGCTTGCTCCCGGTGGGAAAAAGGAGTCTTGTTTGACTTTCTTTTCAGCTGGTAACTTGGCCTTTGCTGCGGTACCCCCCACCCCAGTATCAGCTGCAAGGTCAGACTAGGGCAGCCCCCTGTAGCCTGGGCCTGTAGAAGCTGTGGGTTCACAGTGGGGGGCGAAAAAGCTGGAGTTAATGAAGGCCAGCTGCCCGGCTGGGTTCTGCCTACAGCTAGCTAGAGGCCAGCGTTCAGTGGTGGTTAGGTGGAGGGGGAGGGTGACCTCCATTCCTGGGTACAAGGATATCCTGTGGCAGCCGGGCCTGTGCTTCTCCCTGAGCTTGGTTTCATCCTCAGCTTGTGAGAGACTAGGTCTGCTTCCCTTTCCCCTGCGCCTCCCCTCCCCAAATAACACTCAGCCCTTCTGAGTGAGCTTTATAACTGTAGTGGTGGCCCAGCTGAGATCTGAGGAGCTCCAAGTCCTTCGGTAAACACTCATTAACTGCCTGGGAAGAATCCGGAGTCTTGTTTAACAGCTGGGAGAGAACTGAGGCACATTAGGGTGAAAGGCTTGACCTGAGCTCACCCCACAGACTCCACCCTGGGGCTTCCATCCTTGCTGTCTAGCTCCTTCCAGTTCTTGCAAGACTGTGAGGGCTGGAGGCTCTGCCCTTGCCCTCTACCCTTCTAGGGAGAGGCCATATTCCTTCCCTCAATATACCCTGGTCTTCTGACCCTTCACCCCCATGACACCCCCCACCCCCGCCTCTGTTGCTGGAAATAGTATGCAACACTCCTTGCAAAATGTTCTCAGTCCAGACTCCTCAGCCACCTCCCGATGCCCGTCTCACCCACCACGCCTCAATTTTTCTTTCAAGGTGGCCAACCTTTGAGAAGGCCCATCATCCTATACTACAGAGCTAGTGACCCAAAGTCTATCTGCTGTGTGTAGAGACATCTCTGCCCCAGAATATCTGGGAAAACGCACTTTGACATAGTCCAATGGTAAGAAAGGTTCCAGATCCTGTTGAGGACTGAGCAAGGGCCCCGCTTGATCCCTAGGTTCTGTGTCTTAGGCATCCCCTGCTAACTGTCATCTGGAGTACAGGCCTTCCCTTCTTAGTCCCATCTGCCCAGACTCTCTTATACATGAGTCCACACCACAATGTGCCCAGTACGCCATAGTCTA